TTCAGCCACAACGTGCAGCGTGGTATTGTTACCTGCAAACTGATCTTGGATCAGAGTGATGAACAGCTGAGGGGCACACGACCTACTCACAGTGTTCGAAAGATTGAGTTATGTTACACCGCATAAGAAGCCTTCCTAGTATCAAAAAAAGTCAACAAAACCATTACTTACGCTTCGCGGCATGCCAAAGCTGGTGGAAAAAATATTAAACAATCGGCCGTGCTACTTCTTGGGAGAAACTGCATTGGGCTAAGTTCCACCTTACCCTCCTAACAAGTCTGCTGGTCAGGGTCTCATTAAATAAGAGGAGCAAGACTGGGGCCATGGTTATTGGCCTCCACTTACACGGGTCTTGACTAATAGCCACCCTGGGGATCAGAAGGTCTTATTTACTTTAATCTCAGAAGAGACGTGTTCCATTCCTGACCATGCGTCCAACAGGTATCAGATTACCGTCGGGGATAAAGCTTATGGGCTCCGAAATGTCAGCCCGTCAGGAGCTCACTAGACGATGGCGAGTGTCTTTAACTCGGCAACAATTTCGGCCACCGATATCGCCTGAATCAACCTGTCCGTGATGGAATACTTCGGTCGGGCTTCCTCCATGTCATGACTTAGGGCAACCTCGAATGAGGCTTTATAAAATTCAAAGGTCCGCCCTTTGTCGGGTTGTTCATCTATCCTAGGGAGATTAAAAATTTCCTTGAGTGCATGGTTTGGATCCTTCTCGCATAGTCGAATCAAATGCCGGTAGAGCTCCTTCTTCTGGAAACGCCTTGTCCCGATTTTCTCCTTCACCTTTGGCATCTTGGGAAAAGCCAAACGGATATTATTAGATTAGGTGTTAAAGATAGGAAGGCCTGCAAATGCTGTTGGAGCGTAATCTCTCGACGTAAAAGTGACTCTATGTCTGCTTTCATAAACGCCTCATCACCACTACTAGCCTCCGCCTCAAGTGTCTCCAGCAGTTAAAGCAACTCAGAATGTTCCACACTCGACGTAGACTTCTCCCACACCTCTTTAGGAGTCCTACCTTGCCCAACTGGATGTTCTTAAACTGCCTTCTACAGGGTCAACCTGTACTCCATAGTCTGCAGTCGCTTTGTAATGGCTTCCACTGTTCTCCCTTCCAACTTACGG